GACCTAGGCAGCAGGTTTGTTGCAGAGCCCTGACACCTTGGTCCCTGAAGCAGACAAGGGCTGCACAAGCCTGAACTTCTGAGCTTTGGGGTAACACAGCAGGTTCAAGGGGGCAATGTGTGGTAGGCGGTTCGGGAAGGCTGTACCTTCCCAATGCCTCAGCAATGGAGAAAGGAAGAGGGAAATGTGCAGCCTGGAGTTTAGGATCAAGGGAGGCTGCGCCCTCCGAAACCCTGAGAGAAAACCCTGCCCGTGTGCACCCCAGCGGATTCCCCCCTGAATTCAAACAAAGCTGAAGGACTCCCCTGTCTCCTTGTTGGACATAAACCTCTGGCACTTGTGGATTTTCCTGAAAATTACACCGGTTTTTGAACATAAATAAACTTTGTTTTCTGCTTTCTTTTAAAGTATCCTAATACAAGTTTAGCTATAGTGAATAATATGTATACGAAAATATCCTTTAGCCCCATTGCTATTAGAAATTCAGCCTAGTTCTTCTTAAATCATCATATGTAACTGCAGAAATAAGAGATTAATTGATTTCTAGTCTTTTATATTCCTATTTGTCTGCATATACTTATTTATTGACATATATTTGATGCCAACTTTATATCACAGTTTGAGAGAAAATTGTTTGATCACATTTTGTATGTACATCAACATAAGTTCATTCCTATAATCACATTGCTCCCCAAACTCTTGTTCAGCTTCACTAAACAGCTTCAAAAGCTTGTAAAGAAAATGTAATAAGGGTTTTTCTGTGGATTCAAGTATATTTGCTAAAGTCAATAGTGGAAAATGGAGAAGCTCACATATATCTTAGTTATAGAAGTTTATCAATGCTTATTGAAAATCCTTTATCTTTCTCTATGAAAAAGTCTAGATACTTAAGTTTTCAAATGGAATAGTAAAGTTTATTTGTACTTTATTGTCCTGGTTTCAGCTGGGGCAGAATTAATTTCATTCCTAGCTGTTGCAGTGCTGCATTTTAGACTTGGGAAGAGAGTGCTGCTGCTAACACACTAATGTTTTGGTTTTTTGCTTTATCCCGAGTTAAAGACTTCTTTCTTTTTCCATGTCTCATGCTCTGCCAGTGAGGAAGTACACAAAAGAAGCTGGGAGGGAGCATAGCTGGGACAGTGGACTCAAACTGAGCTGAGGGATATTCCACACCATGGAATGTGATGCCCAGTATTTAACCTGGGGGGAGTTAATGGAACCACAGCCTGTCTGGGGTTGGTCAGAGGGTGGTGAGCAATTGCGTTGCAATGGTGAGTGCATCACTCATTTGTTTCATTATTATTAATGCTCATTATTATTATATTTTACTTTATTTTCAATTATTAAACTGCTCTTATCTCAACATACAAGTTTTACTTTGAGTCTCCTCCCCATTGCACCAGGGGAGGTGTGGGGGGAAAAGGAGGGGGAGAGTGGCCATGCACTGTTTCATCTCCAGCGGAGCTTAAACGCAGGACAGTTCTTTTTTGCCGAAGTGGGGCATGAAGGGTTGAGATAAGGACAAATCCAAGCAGAGTGTGTTGTGAATTTTTTTTTTTCTTGGTACTTTGATTACCAACACAACATCAAATGTCACCACAAATAAAGGTGCTTAGGGACTTAACTGTTATTTATGATTCCCATCTTATTTCCCAGAGAAGAAGTGTGTTCAAGCAAGTATAACTTAACTGCATGAGTTATTTTCTCAGGATGTAATGAGTTGTGAAATATAACAGGGTTTGTGTACATTGTTGCACAGTGAAAGTGGCCTGATAGATCATGCTCCTCAAACTACAAAAAAAGTTATTAATGTCACTCAGATTCAGCCCCCCTTCCCCTCCATGTTTTACTGTTCACAGAATCAGCTTTTAGGTAATTTTAGCCAGTATGTAATAATATTTTTGGAATAATCTGAACAGTGAAAAAAAGGATAGTTGTGACAGATATAGAAATAGTAGTATTCGTTCTCAATCACATCCTGTTACCAAACATATAGTTATATCATTAATTATTGCTACCTTAAATACTGTAGGGTTATACCTCTGTGTTGTGGTATCATCAGCCAGAAGGATTTCTTCCTTCTCCCATGCAGTCCTGCTAGCATCGTAAAACACAAGCTGTGTTTCTTGGTCCTGCAGTATGAGACTCTCACTTTATTCACTGCCTGGCTATATGTTATTTTGATGTTTACGAAGTCAAATGTTTTGGTTTTATTTTTTTATCATATGGATAAGATTGGCAAAAAAGAAATTATTTTTATTTGGTGGTTATATGTGAGATTTTATACAGATGTGCCAGAAAGAAAACTCTGCAATTAAATACTTTCATCACCATGTGATAAAATACAGTTTCAGGCTGGTTTTAAGGTTTTGCTGACTTGACTTCTTTCCTTGGTTTTTCAGTAAACTGTTGAATAGTTAATGAGCAATATCTTCTACTCAAGAATGTGTGGCAGCCAGCATCCTTTAGGCTTTACTTGCAGCTGTGCTGTAAAGCATGCTTCTTTACTTACATCAGAATTTAGAGGTCTATAGCTTTTGCTTCCTCTGCAAAGTATTTTATTGACTGCATTGACAGCAAATATACACAAAATCAATACCTTGAATGTTAGGCATTGCTTAGGTGAAGGACAAGCAGCTGTAAAGCTGTAATTGCTGCATCTCGGTGCACAGCATGGCAAGGAAACATCCTTTCCTTGGCTTTATATTCTTTTTATTTCAGCCTCCACCTATCTCTCTTCTGGCTGAGGTAATACACCTGTTGGTCTGCTGTCTGCTATTTCCAGTTCTATCTTCCCTCTCACCAAAGTAGTTGCATTGTTAAGAGACAAGAGGACTTAGCTTTATGCCAAACTTTCTCTTTTACTATTTGACTCCTAATGCTGGCTGTTCTCCCACTGACTCTCCTTTCTAAAGCACTCACAAGCTGGTTTATTAATGAGAAGCAAAAGTTCAGTATGGCTGCAACATGCTTGATACCAGCAGCTAAAATAGGAGGCAGACTAATATGAGTTGTGATCAGCTGCCCAAGGAGCCATCAGTCCTGCAGGACAGGATATTCATGGCTGCTGAGTAGTGTGATATGAAAGACTAAAGCTGGATGAACGTGAGAATGTGCTTTATCCTGATGTTGATTGCCAAACAGAGGAAGGCTTTCAGTATAATTCCTCTCACTCTGTGTGATTGAAAGAACAGAAGGTAGAATTTGCACGATGAGGTTGTGTAAGCCAGATGAGTGGGTGGGGGAAGCCTGAGAGTTTCTTGTGTTCTTAAACACTTACAAGATGACCAAAAGTAGTCATTTGAAGGTCTAGTAATGGAAATTTTAAAAGGTTGCTTTGTTATCTGGAGACTAACAAAAGTACAGTCTGATCACTGCAGTGGGGTTTGGCAGGCCTTGATGCAAAAAGGCACAGGCACAGAAAACCTGTTTAGAAATGATGAGTTTTAACTGAGGAAGAGGAGGAGGAAAAGCAAGAAGGTGGGAAGAGGAGAGAATGGAAATAATCTGTAAGAGTGTCATATGCAAATTCTGGAGCAAATTAGGGATAAGCCTAAGACAAATGGCAGTGGAGGATAGAAAGTCTGCAATGGTATGTGATTCCACTGGTCTGTAGCTTCACCTGTCTGGAGGAAAGAAAATTATCTGAGATTAGTGATGTCTAAGGAAAGAAAGATACCTGGATAGCCATTGCTTCTTCTTTTTGTCATGACATTCACTAAATACATGAACAGAAAGGATCTGCTGTGCATAAGACGACTTTCTCCTTTCTCTGGTTTTGTTTCCTTGTTTGTTTTGCTTGTTTTACTCCTTATGGCATTGCTTCTTTTTCAGGTGGATTCTCTGGTTCTCCACCAGGAGGAGCACAGAGACAATCTTGCATTTACTGCTTCCAACAACCGGTTCAGGGAGTTGAGACAGCGTGTTTTAGTGCAGGCAGCAAAACAAGTGGAAGTTTAGACTGAGTATAAAAACACCTTATCAGAAAAACAGAGATCCCAAAACACTGAGGTGCATTGCAGTGCCAGAAGCCTTCAGTATGACCAAGCACGAGCAGATCCTGCAACAACAACAAAATAATTTCCTTTACTCTGACTGTGAGTAGCTGAACAGACTAAGTTTCTGTCAGTAGTCCAGTTTCTTTCCCTTCCACCCTCACCAATGGATGTTCCTGAGATAAACAGTCCATTCCTTAATTCCATTGTATTTGCAGTAAGAATTTACAACTGGTTCAAATGAAAAAAAACAAAGAAGCCATCCTAAAAAAAGTGGATTGAAATTCTAGGCCTGAGTAGGAGGGCCATAGCACCAAACCTACATTGCCAGTGGCTTAACTGAATGACAGCAATCTTGTGCTGTGCTGAAACTTCCAAGACCCTCACTGAGCAATGTCGGATCTCAAGATCTCAGTCCTGAGATGCTGAGCCTCCGAGACCCTGGGGGGGGCTCGGGACTCCTGGAATGTTGCCAGAAGTGTCTGGTAGCTGGACTTTGACCCTACACAGGAGACGACAAGGATGAGGGCTTCACAGGGTGAANGTTTGATACTGAGAAATAGTCAGAATATTATATCCTGAATCTTGATGTCAGAGTCACTTGGGCAAGTATGGATCATTTCTTTCCTGGCTGAGCAAAATACTCCTAACGGAAGTCCGTTTCTAGGAGTGGAGAAGAATATGAAGAGTAAATGACAGTCTACAGGAAGGCACCATGACTCCATCAATTTTCGAAATGGAATCATAGGGGAGACCTAAACCCCAAAGCGGAGCTACATCCAATATCCATAAACAGCCTTCCAAAAAACTCTTGTTCCTTTTCATTTGTTTTTGTTTCTTTTTAATATCACATGCAAATCACTTACAGGAGAAGTAGGAGCTATTCATACAGCAGATATCTCCCACACATTGTACATAATGTCAGTAAAACTGGCATTAAAATACACACTGATAACAGCCTGAGAGAAGAGGCAAAATTCCCTTTACGTGAGAAGCCACACGTACCTTCTGTGAGTGCACAACCTGAAAGACACAAAGGAGCTGAAAGTCATGTTTCTCTTCAGAGCAAACAGAATACAGATTTTAGAAGTCTCAGTTTATCAAACACTGCCTCATTCTTCCTACTGAAAGTAGGTGTTTTATGATACTGTGCAATTTACTCTACTACAGAGATTTCTCAGTGGAAAGCCTGACGAAATTCTAGATGTAGAATGGTAACCCAGGGACAAAGGTCCAGGAATGGGAAGAGACATATGCTAATACCTAGATCTTTAGGTCTGCAATTGTGCCAGAAGAACACCTTGTATAGAAGCTATCTATAGATGTGGCTCATATCATAACACTTGCTCTTTTGATTTGTGATTTATATCTGATACAGTATGGTAAGAGATGTTTTTTTACTCACCAGCATCACCATGGATAAATTTGTTTATTGAGGCTGTTGTTCCATTCTGAAAAAAATTGGCAACACACTCAAAGCGATTCAGAGGGTTGAACCACTCCCAGGCTGGCATCCTCAGTCGGCTGGTCAGCGAGTAGGTGCTCCCATTCTGTGTGGAGGACTCGTCTGTCCCCACCCCTTCGGTCCTTTTCACACCATTCACCCTCCAGACCAGAGTCAGGTGGTCAGGGTAGAAACCAGAGGCCAGGCACACCAGCGTGGCCTTGCTCTTCTGCTGGATCTCCTGCTTTGATGGGGAAAAGATGGCCACCGCTGGAGGTATGATTTCATCATTCTCGCCTGAAACACAAAGCAACATGGTCCAGAGCCTCCATCCCTCTGTTCAGTCAGAACCCCCTGGAAATGGTCCTGAGTTTGTGCCGTGTTACTCCTGAGATACCTGGCCTTTTAACTGCTGTCTATTGGACAATTCATGTCTACTGGATATGACATACCAGGACAGTGGAAGGATTTCTTTTTGCTCATCACACAGAATTTTCACGGGTCTGGCCACAGAAATGCACAAGCACATGAAATTCTTGTGTGGTCTCTTGCCAGAAGCATACAAATCTGCAAAGAAACTGAGCAAACAGATGGGCAGAAAAGTCCCCAGTTTTGCTGTAACTATGGCCTGTATTTGTGACATTGTATTTAAAGTTAAGGGAGTCTCTTATAAGACACAAACATCTTCAGCAATCTGGGTTGCATTCCTGGAGAGGGAGTTAAGACATGGTGGTCATTGCAGTGTTCAGAATTATACTGGCATGGGATATGCTACTTGGCCCCCCATCTATGAGATGAGTTGGAAGAAAGGAAGGAAGGAAGGAGTCAAGGAAGGAGTTGATCCTTCTCACTGTCTGAAGTGAAAAACAATTGAGGCATATTGGGGTAAAGGGTAACTAGAGGTCTAATTGTCTAATTGTCTAATCTTATAAAACATATGTAATGGTAGTTAAAACAAAGACTGGTTCATAAGAGACAAAGAACAGAGCTCTATTCATGCTAACCTTCTAAAGATATACATTAAATAGTTTTGTTGCTACCTTAAAGCCAATTCTACAGAGGCCTATTGTTATTTGTCACATATGCTCTACTGCTTGGGAAACTTTTCTGCTTGCTTGGGAACTTTTTCTGCTGTATTTGCAATGCTAACAGAACTTCAGGCTAAGGCCTGTACACCTTTTAACTATTTCCTAAAAACCCTCTAACTTTAGGGATTCCAACAAGGCAGGTAACGTGAATCTGCAAGTGATGGGTTTTGTCTTGGGTCTTAACCAATGCATTTTTAAGAACATTAAACATGATTTTATGTAATTTAATTTTTTGGTTATTGTAGGTATGAGAAGCTCTGATCCTAGGCTACACACCTTCCCAGAATGATGCAAGATTCCATAGACTTGCAAATCAAATGTGTTTCCCTGTCCTAAAGTGTTTAATACCTACTTGTATGATAAATAAGGAGAGAGTTCAGTCAGAAGGATGTTCAAGGCAGACATGAGAAGTTACTCAGAAGCCAAGCAGTGAGTCTAAAAGACAGGGGTGTTTCCATATACTAAATCAAAATGCCTTTTTGACCCATCTAGCATGAGAAACCCATGAGGTCTGTGAGTGCTGCAGGAAAAAGGAATGTAGGCAAAACAATGGAGCCAAAGAGAAAATTATTACTCTGGGGTGGTCTTTTTTGTATGAAGGCACGGTGAATTGTGGACGTTCTTCCTGAGCACTCTCCCCTCTGCAGAGGGAGGGAGGTAGCAGAATGAGCAGAAATTAATATCTTGCAGAGATCTTGTCCGCTAAGTCCTCGTGTTTGCATTCAAATGATGCCTTAATTGTGACCACCAGAGCTTGCTCTGCAAAGATCCCCAGGCTGCTTCTGTATGAGCTTGTACAGACTTTAGATGACCTGATATTAAATAGAGGTAACTCCCTAGAGGGTTTAGCACTGCTCTGCTTTCCACTTCATGGGTATGAAGAGAGCTTGATCGCTCCTACTTCTCCCTGCCAACACTTAGCGTTATGATTTTTTTTCCTATGCTAGAAGTCTCTCTGACAAATTCTTCAGGTCATAGCCCTAAAGGCTAATGAGTGAAGAGATGGAAACAGATAGGACGGCAAAAGAAAAAGGAGAAATTTAGTAGGCTAAAGAAAGAAAGGATCAACTAAAAAAGGGAAGGTAGGTGAAAAAGAGACAGAAGAAAGATAGATAAAAGTACTGAAACTACTGGAAAGACAAAGAAAATCAGAAAGTTAGCATGCTTGAAATGGAATGAAGGCATTAGAAAGAGCAAGAACTAGAAAAAAAAGTCTGATCAGCATCCCCTTGTGTTCTGGTTTTCCTTTCTCCTCATAGGAGACACTGACCGAACACTTGATAACTTCCATGCATAAAACTCATTCCCTGTCACACAGATTTCACCCATCCCAGACAAAAAGTATCACAGTTCTTCCATCCCCATCACCGCAAGGTCAATTTCATAATTTCTTCTTATCTTTCACTCCTACTCTCATTTTAAAATCATCTGTGTAAATGCTACATACCATGAACACAGGGGCAATTTTCAAGTGTCCTCCACACTGAGCACTTGGGTAAACAACAGTTCCTTACCTATGACTCTGAGCACAGTGCCGACTCCAAAGTGAAGCTGCTGGTTTGCACAGCTGTACAAAGTCAGGCTGTAACCCCTAGTGTCATTATGCTCTTCCTGCCAGACACATAGCTCCTTAAAATGGTACTGTTTAAAGGAGCAGGCACCAGTGAGGATTTCTACAGTTTGCTATCTGATGGGGAAGTAGCAGATGCAAAAATTACTGTGCCCTGTGATTCTAACATGCCCCAATATCGGTGATGTTAAATCCTTTCTGGAATGGGAGAAATTAGAGAAAGAAAATGGGGGAAAAAGAAAATGAATAGAGGAAAAAAAGTATGCTGAGAGAAAATAATACAGTCCTTGCTGAGTTGTAGAAGTTGTGAGAAGGATTGTTTACAGAACCCAGCATCCCAAAGCAACTATAGACAGCCTGCAAACCATCTGTGGAGAGGCAAGTAAAGGTCCAGCAAGATTACTCCTTCCCTCCATGGTTCAGCCCACAAGAGAATCCAGATTCCACCTCCAAAATGCTGCTTTGGATCATTACACAGATAAACTGAAAAAACCTGAGGACCTGCAGGAACATTTTTCATTCCCACCTCTATAATATTTCCTTGAAAGATGGGTGAAAATTAAATTATTTATTCCCTTCTCCCTGCATGAAGTTCCCGGAAATGAAAGACAAAGGCTGCAGACACAAGGACCTCACCATTGGTGCCTGTAAATCCTATGTTTCCATAATGGCACATCTCATTTTAATAAGCAACCAATAAAGCATTAATCTTGTTCTCATGGCTGCATGAAAAATTATCATTAGTAAGCTTTTAATTAAAAATGTTCTTGTCCCCTAAAGCAGTATCACATAGATCACAGAGATCGGACTTACCTATGACCGTAAGTTTTGTCCCACTGCCAAAGAACAGTCTATTATTATTCACACCATTTTGCAGCTGCAGAAAAACCTCTCCTCTACTCCCAGACCTCTGAGCCAAGCCTGTAGACTAACCCTCCCCTCATGTGGTACCAGCAAAAGAAGAAATACGGAGTACATTTATCTCAGATCTCCTAGAATACAGGTCTGTAAGGAAAACCACCAAATCTGTGTCTAAACAGCTGAGATCAAGATCAGAAATACCCTGTCCAGAGCCCTTCTGCTTCAGGCTCAATCAGTTGTTGGAGGTTCCACCATTTCTTTGGATGATATTTCTCTATTTATCGAGGTGTCATATTAAAATATTAGAAAATATTTCCCATATGTCAACATTCCCTAAGATCTCTTCCTCTTTGAAATGAACCATATATTATTTCTGTGGTTTTCAGTGGCTGTTTAACATTTGTTCTGAAATAGTAAGATCATTGTCCTCTGTGATCTTTGTATTCCCATCCTGGCAAGCCTGTATAGTGGAAAGAAACTGGCTGCGCTGTGGAGAGCTACTTTCTATAACAATAAGGAATACTTAAGCTACTTTCTATAACAATAAGGACTTTGAAAGCTGCAGAGAGATTTTAGTATTGCTTATTATACAGTATGGTATATACTAGTGCCTTCTTTTTTATAAATTAAAAATGCTAGCACACTTGTTTTCCATGGTTATCTAAGACAACACATTATTTAATTCACCCTGGGAAGATTCAAGGTAATTGAGGCTTGTATCGTCTTGACTTGTGTTTCCTAGACCCCTTCAAAGTGTAACTGTAAGTCAGTTCTTTCCAGAGAGATAGACAGCTTTTCACTCACTTGTCCTTAATCATCTCTAGCCCCAGCAGAACCAGCATTATAGAGAGTAGCTATACTTTTGAGGAATTTTTTGTACGTGTTGATTCATTAGGACAATGTTTTTTTGTGTCATGCACACATTATTTCTCTCATACCTTATCCTCATTCTTTCTAGGGACACTTTTTTCTTTACTGAAAACATATTCATTCCATTCTCCAAAATGAAAAGGAGTGTACCTACCTAGAGGACCCAATTTATTCTATTCTCTGAAGTAGACAGGGTTACTAGCACACCAGTTTAATAATGTTAGGGAGGTTAAAGATTATGTTCTCTAAAGAGAAGACATGGCTTTTGATGTGATTTAAAAGAGGAAACAAAAAGTTCTTACCTATCACTGTAAGTTTTGTGCCGCTGCCAAAACGCATATCAGCACTGCTCACAGTGACAAAGTGATGTATCATAAGCTAAGGGAAGGGATGCACTGCACCTGCCTTTCTATAAGCACAAGCTTTGGAAACTGTTACTGTTCTTGGAATCCCAAACATCACCCATTATTTATTTGAGCTGGTTCACCTTTGGCAGGGAACTAAAACAAATCCCTTTGTTCCCCCTTCCATGGCTGGCCAGCTGTCTTGGACAGTCTTTCAGGATCCCCTTCAGTTTTCTGATAGGTTAAAATAATCCACACAAGGAGNCGGGCTGCCCCAAGGCCACCCCCGGGCCTTCCAGGCCCCTCAAACAGCCGAGATAAACCGGACAGAGCAACACACAGGGTTCTGAAACAGAGACACTATCAAGAAGTTAGGGTTCTCCTGAAAGAAAACCTGTAATTCAGCCCTGAATAATAGTAGCATTCAAATTTCTGACAATGAAGAGAGCTAAGAGCCCCCTGATTTATGAGATAAATATTTTTATATCTCTGGATGTTATGAAATTCATGCTGAAACCCACACTGAAATCCTTCTCTATGTAACTCATCCTCACCAAAAGTGCTGTGTGAAATTGAACTGACCATAGAAGAGATTATGGAACATGCAAATTATTCTAAATACCATTATCATGTCTTTGTCAAATAAAAATAATGTCACAACACAAATCTGAAACAGCTGGCTTACAGACAGGAGTGAGTATTCTCTCCTGAAATGTTCCTTATACTCATGACTGGAAGGTGACAAATGTAACTAATTTTTTAAATAAATTTGACAACTTGCGAAAAAAAAAGAGCATGTTTTCTACATGTCATCTTGTCTTTTTTCCTGACAGTATAATAGTCAGGGCATTTGAACAAATATTTTTTCCCACCCTAAAAAAAAAAAGGAAGCACAGTATTTAAAAGAAATTTATTAATTATTTAATTATTTTAATTAACAATGTAATTTTTTTCCGGAAAGATGTATTAATATTTACTAGATCATTCTACTAACATTGCTAGTAAAACTTTTCCCACATCTTGTAATTTCAGTGCCACACAAAAATTAAAAAAACATGGCTAAAAGGTTAATCATGACATTTGTTGAGAGTGAAGCCCATGTTAGATGTGTTTATTCCCATTAAGAAGAAAGTAAGCCTGTCACATCAGCACTGAGCTGATGATTAGGTGAATAGGTTTATCAGCCATGTTATGGTCAGAGTGCCCCAGTAAGATATTTTGATGCCTTTATTTTTACAACTTTTACAACCCAACAAACTCACTGCCAGGATTAAATTATGAGGTCTCTCCCTCCAACTGCCCACACTTAACCACTTAGACTTAACCACTGGTGTGCAGCAGGATGTTGTGAGTCATATTTTCCTCTTGAAATTCTTTCACTTTGTATTAAGTGAATACATAATTAAATAATACTTAAATATTTATTGAATAAATACTTAGATATTTATTGATCAAACATAGATTCTGAAATCTAAGCTATAAATTTGTGATTTTTATACAGTAGCAAAAAATTAGTAATTAATCCCTTTGTGATACCTTACAGCACAGTGCACTAGAGAGCTGGTTTGTCAGGATTCAGATCTTGTCTCAAAACAGCAACATGGGATTTGAATCTAGATATTGTTCTGAAAGGTTTTACCTGTAACATTGCTGTAGACCTCCTCTGGCTGCTGTACCATGTAAAACCCAGAGGAAAACTCTGTTCTGAGTGAAAAGAGGTTTCTCTTCCCAGCCCATTTACCTGGATCTTAGGACAGTTTTTACAGCATATCCAGTTAGGAACTTCATCAGCTACTACAGACACTAGTTCCCCTCTTCATCTGCATTATGTTTTTGAAATCCCATTTTCAATATCATCTCTGATATTTTTCTTGTCCAGATAAAGAACCTGTGTACTTCTGAGTCAACATTTTCAACACAGCATTTCAGTCTCCAGTTTAACAATAGACATATATATCTCTGGTACATTAGTTCCAGTCCCTTTTTCATGAATATCTGCAAATGCAAAAATAAAGATCTGTAAAAAATGATCCTCTAAGGATCACTGTAAACACCCCCTCACTCCACCAGATGGTGTCCTTTCACTTAAATAAGAAAGAATATTTTCAGTAGCACAGATCTTGTCTTGCTTGATATGAGCACTGGCCTCTGGGGCTGTAATATATACACTTCAAAGCTATAAATGGCAAATTATGAGTAGTGTGATGGCTCCCATTGTGCTTCCAAAATACCATGGTGGGGCAGCAATTAATCTTCTTAATACAGGTTAAAAGTTTGTGTCAGAATCAGCAGTATCATTTTGGATCCTGCAAGATATATATATATATATATATATATATATATATATATATATATAATATAATTAGTACAGGTACTGCTGGCCAAGAAATTGTTAGATATTTACTTCAACAATAATCTAGTTTTCCTTCAGTTTTGCTTTGTGCTAAGGCTGCAACAGGGTCCCATATAAAGCTCTTCTCAAAATAATATCATGCATGCTTGTTCTAACAGGTGGAGAAAGAAGAAAAAAAAAATTAAGGTCTAAGCATAGATAGTGTATTTTTCCTGAAAGAAAAGATCCATCAGTTACCAGTACAAAATGAAACCACATTATTTGGTTGTACTAAACATTTTCTGGTTTGTTCTGGAAACAAAATATCAAAAGGTAAAAAAAAACACACAAGGATAAATAAAACCACAGCTGTGGTTGGTAGAGTATGAAAAGCTTCCAGATGAGTCAGTTTGAAATTTTCTGTGTGTTTTCAACACATGCACTTCAAATAAAGTGTTTGCTTGAAATCTTGCAGGAAGGAGCTTGTTTTTCAGCGTGGATGTAGCTGTTACAGAGATATCCGCTATTGGTTTAGGGGAAGCAGGTGAAACAGATCTATATAAGTCATATGGGGTAAGGTCACTGACTCCCGAGGCAGAAGTGAGGATGTGGACGGCTCTGTGTGTGGCAATGTACTTCTTTGGAACAAGTAAGGAATCAGTAGAGCCATAATATCTGTTCTGATGCTGGGAGAATGGGGCTTACTTGTTTTACTGTGTTTTCATTTTGTTCTGTTTTACAGGAGCCGAAATCACCCAAACGCCAAGTCTTGTGGTGAGAGAAGATGAGAACGCTACCCTGAAATGCAGTCAAAATGATAATCACGATTCTATGTACTGGTATCTGCAGCAGCCAGGGAAGGCCATGCAATTGATTTATTATTCCTATGGTACAACTCTAAAGCAAGAGGGTGACATTAAGGCTGGATTCCAAGCTAACCGGCCAAACCTTGCAGAATTCTATTTGGATATTTTGTCTGTGAAGTTGAACCACTCAGCCCTCTATTTCTGTGCCAGTAGTTTGGACACAACACTTCAAAGTCACTTGCTTTCTTTACATAAACCTCTCCCCTTTCAGCACCGAAGGGAGCCACTCTCAGCACAGGAAAAGGGGTGTAGGGCAATCATCTACTCACAAACCAGATGTTACTGAGAAGGTGGAACAAGAGTAGGTAGAAATAAGACATAGGCAAAACAGGTATTTGAAGTGCAGGCTAATTGCTGAACTCCTCTTTCCTGATCGGCCATTTATCCTCCACCTTATCAGATCAATAAAGATGGTTAACCAAATACAGATGTAAAATAAAGGAAATGTAAATTGTAGTTGAAACAACCACAAGTTATTGTCCATTAAGACATTTTCATACCTGACACAGAACAGTTGCCTGACATACACAAGTCTGAAATACTTTAGAGATAGTGACTTCTGTGTGCGCTCTCATTCCTTCCTGAACCACAATGTTTTTCACTGTGCTTGGAAAAGTTACCCTAATCACAAGAAAACTGTAGAATTACTATTTCCAATGGTGATGAAAAGGAGTCTGAACAAAAGATGAAGGAGTAGAATCTATACAGAACTAATATACAACAGACTGGATTAAAATTACAAAAGAGGAGTCATTACTATGGCTTGCAAGTGCATAGACTTGCAATGTGCAAAATCCTGAAAAGCTGTATGTATATGGAGGGTATAAAGTGGGAAGGCAGGTAGTCAAAGTATTCCAACTTGGAACGAATTCACATTCAAGAAAAAATAACATGTAGATTTTCATTTATTCAGAAATTGTTCTGACTATGGAGCTTACTTCTGGCTGCATAGTGAATCCCATACTACTGTGCGTCCCCCATCTGTCTCTTTATATCTCTGTCTCACAACTGAATAAGCAGCAATATTCAGTATTAATCTGGTTGATTCCTTCTCTCTGTGGCTGAGTTCTGAGAGTGTTTTTTATCCAAGGCAACTTTGTGATGTTTCTCAAGGCCTTATAGATATTTCTGAGCGTGAGCAAGGTCCTGATAGGAACACTGCTTCACAGAGCATCCATATTTTGAAGACAAAAAGTAGAGAGGGATGAAAAAACAGGATGTGAATGTAAATTTATATACTGCATAACCTCTCCCTGACAGGATATTTCTGGTTTGCCATGAAGACTCTTTCGTGCCACACAAAAAGACTTACCAGTGTTCTTCCATCACCACCATTCTCCCAGACAGTGTAATTGATGCAGTGGGATTAGTCATAGCCTGAGATACTCTTTGGTGTAAGCCTTTCATGGTGACAATGTAACAAATTGTCTTAAATTGTTCTAAAACAAAAAAAAAAAAAAAAAGCACTAAGCAAGGTTCTTGTGATGTGTAAAAGGCACCTGCAAAATTTAGTTTGAAATAAAGAATAGTTCTGAAATAAAGAATAATAGCAATAATTATAATAATAATGTGTTTCCAGTTTTGGAAAGGTTTAAATAAAGGATGTAGAATGGGAAGATTCCATAATTAGACACAGCATGCACACTGTGATATTATATTTATCCCAGTCTGAACTATGTTAGATTATATTTAAATGTTGTAGGGCAAAGGACTATTACCATGCATGCAGGATAACCATACTGATCTTCAAAGGAAATTTTCAACTTGTGATTATTGTGCAGAGTTTCTTCATTGGGATGGGAA